AAAAGAAAAAAGAGAAAAAGGAAAAAGCTGCTTTGTGTCTTACTTCCCTGTGCTCTGAGAATGAGAGTCACCCTGTGTGCAGGAGAATAGAAGGCAAAGGAAGAAGCAGAAAGGAGAACTGAGAGGATGTGATATCTAGGGACTCTGTTYAAACTGGCATTGCTAGATTAAACACATGTCATTGTAGCCCCAAGCTATAATTTCACACCACTTCTAAACTGATTTAATGGCTAGCTGCCACCAGGTTCCTTACAAGGAATCTGAGTTAGCTCACTGAACCGGCCTGCTGGGGGTTAACAGCAGGTATATGGAGCCAAAATTTTTCCGTCCATGGCATCTGTCCTTAAGTGCCAGTCTAATTATTGACTAAACTGAGCCTTCCCTCTTAACAATAACCACATCAAAGTCTGGGCAGAACGGATGTAGTACTCAAACTGACAAACTACCTTTTTGTACTCCAGTTTCTTCACAGAAACCACTTTTGAAAATACAATAGCACTTTGCAAAGAGCAATCCAAAATCTCCAAATACAAAATGAGGACAAAAATGAAAATAAATATAATCTGCACAGGTAAAAGACCTAAAATAATTTAGCATTTTGCTACTGAACCTGATTTGGAGTAGATGAATCACTTGCATCCTCAGTGTTCTCACATTTACTGAAATTCTTTGGCAGCTTGCAAAGACGTCCAGCAAAAATAAGAATTCCTATCTTGAGCAGGCAGCATGTRTGTGGCCCTCTGAATTGCTATTGGCATAGGTTCTGCTCTGGTATCTCTGGATTGTGCTGATTGTTATTTTTAAAACACCTGAAACTTGAGTTTAATGAGTTTACAGAAGTACCTCACAATAAGAGCAGTGTGTCAAATGTCAATATCCTGACAAGCTGTCCGTTCCTGTGCACTGCTAACAATTACTCGTTATTATGTAAACAGCAGGCTCCATCTTTTTAACATGAATTTCCGATGAGATTATAGAATAAAGAAATTTCCTGTAAGTGTATTTACCTTTCTACAGACTTACCAGTCCAGAATCTGACAAATAGTGTATTACTCACCATGTCTGTTTCTACCTTTTATGTATTCATCCAAATACATTCCAAGTTCTATTTAGTCAAGGATTAGTGTGTTGATTTTTTTTTAACAGAAATTAAGAGAAAGGAGAATTCCTTCATTAMGGATCTGATTGCAGAATTGAGGGTGTACACATAAAATACACTCAAGCACAGATGATTTGATTTCACTAGGACTGCACAAAGGTTGGGACTGCCAGRAGCAAGGCTTCCTTTTCATTATCTTCATGTTTCTTTTGCTGATTTTAGCTTTTTAGTACTTAATTTACATATAGCGCACTTCAGCACTTCCTAATTCCTGCAAATTTCTGATAAAAAATCATCCTAAAACTATCAAACTAGAGCAGACCTTTCTAATCATCTCTCAGAAGAACGACAGAGTAGGGCTCACTGCCTTACAGGCTGCATCTGCACTGCAATTAGGAGATACGGCTGCAGCATGCTAGATATACTTCAAATACACTTAATTTTGTCAGCCTTATATAACAAAACAGTTAAAATACATAAGCACGGATGTCACCACAGGCAATGAATTTGAGTAAGCATCCAATATACAACAAAATGAGCCTACATACCCCTGACTGAGGCATAGGTTACCACAGCTGTGTTACTGCTGTCTCTGAACCAGCGAGACTAAAGCTAGCACAAGCAAGACTATCCATGCTGACTGCAGTGTGTATACAGAAGGAAAAGCACTTCATTTGTTTATCAGAGCCACAGTGCTCCATGGAAATAAATGAACAGAAAATTGAGAGCTACCACTTCAAGATCACATTAATGTGAATTTAGAGATTAAAAAATAATCTTCCCTTTATTCTCAATATGCCTGATGTTTCTCAGGCTGTGTTGCACAGGCCTTTGAGAAAAAAAATCAGTAATTAAAGAATTACAGTTGGACTTGATGATGTTAAAGGCTTCTTCCAACCTAAATGRTTCTATGACTTTTAAGTGACAGCTAAATAGCAAACAGGCACTAGTGGTACATGATCAGTAAATATTATTTAATACAGACAGAAATTCTACAGTCCTGTTGTTAAATGGATGCCTTGTATGAGAAACTCAGACTCAGTACAACAAAACTCAGCGTTAGTCTGTTTTGAATCATCAGGAATGCAACCAAAGAGTTACTAACTATTGTAAGAAGAATATATTTCTACATTCAGAGTTGGTATATGGAATTTTGTTATGTTTGACTTAAAAAATTTGACTTCAAAATATTTGAAAGACACAAGAAAATGTAAAAGATAAATTCTGTTACAATGTCAAAACAAAAAGAAAAATTGTTTAAGATTTTCTTTTTAGTCTTTCTATCCTTGAAAAGCTTTATTTAGTCATCACTATGACATTTCAAATTTAGCTAATGATAGAGCTGGCAATTAGGACAACAGCTGGACTCCGAWAAAGAAAACTAAAGCACACTAAAAAATAAAGGAACTTTTTTTAAACAAAAARCTATGAAAGCATTATTTTCAGCGGCATGTCATGGCTGATCAACACTGCTACTTCACTTACATAGAGTGCTTCCACTCTGCTGCTCTTGACTGACACACAATACTATACATGTTTGTGCACTTCCAATGCTGGATTAGACACTAAAAGTCTTAAATCTTAACTTTGGGAAAGACTCACAAGTAAGTGAGGCCATATTGATAAAAGAGTAAACACAGTTTATGTACCAAGATAGCTGCATAATAAAAACTAACTGAAAGTRTCGATAGTCAAAATATTGGAAGCTTAATGATATTTATTAGAAGTGTCTTAGCATTCTAGAAAAATAGTTTTCTACAAGGTACACAAAGTTTATAGTGACAAGCCAGCACAACTGGAAAGAAAAGCACAATGGTTTGGAAAAAAAAAAAACAAAAAACCCAAATCACAATACAAAACCAAACAACAACCCACTTATCAATGAACACAATAAAATGACTATTTCATTATCAACTCCAAATGACAGTGTAAGCAAAATCATTCTCCATGAGATTAAAAAAAATAGGTATGTACACTTCAGCTTAGAGCATCCTTTAAGATGTTAGTTCCATACTGTAAACAAACTGAATATATACAAATATCAAGAAATGACCCATGACATTACATCAATTAAAAYTGAATTCCATGTATAGTTATTGTGSTTACCTCATTTTAGAATTAAGTGCTGAAAATAGGTGAGAGAAACCCACACCTTTTGCCTGAGGTTTATGCATTATAATTCCACCTTTTCTTTAAAATGTTATTCATAAAATTTATAAAAAAGAGCAATGAGAAAGAAAAGCAGCCAAGGAAAGGAAATGAACAGCTTTCAAGCATCTCACAGAGCATTGCTACATTTTATTTAGATCATATAAATTACTTCTTCCAGAGATCAGAAGGATATGGGAATATGCTTCTAATAAACAGAAGAAATGCATTCAGTTCCAGCAAATTGAATTCATACCAGCAAGCCTCACACACTAGTTGACGAAGAGAAATGATAAAGCTTACCATGCAGCTTAATAGACCAAAATAAACAATTTTTTTTAAATGACAGCTTTCCTGAGCTAGTCTTAGTAGTAAACAAAAATATTTAGATAATTCTGATTAATAATCATTCTGACATAGGGCTGATCCATATAATTAATTACAAAATAAAGAAATACTACAATTACTGTAAGCATTTTGAGTATAAAATTCCTGGAATGGATGTGAAACTTTGCTGTTTATGAATTCAACAACACACCAGAAAAGATTCATAAATCTTTACAGCAATTTGGGTTTATGTTCTGCTTCTGTCTTTTACACAGATGAAAATAAGGGTAGCCTACAATGTTCTTAGTAAGTATGGCACTGTTTCTCACAGATTTCTCAGCCTTTATAGTGGTTCAAATATTTAGCAGTATATCCATTTTAAGAACAAAACCTTATGCTTTAATYTGTCTCTAGTCCACAACCATTAACTAGCTCCTCAGAAATTCACTATGAGACGGCAGAACAGACTTTWCAATCCTTGACATAACTTCAAAACATCTGAATAAAAAGGTAAGCCTGTTAGCCTAYTAAGATTTCTCTTTAGAAAGYATTACATGGGAGCAAACTAAAAATTAGACTAKAATTAAAATGAAAATTAAAAAGTAGACAATAAACAGCCACTGTGCAAAGCAAGATCAWGACAAAAGGAAATATTGTTAAATACAATTATCTAGTGCACCTTAATAATATTTACTATACTAGGTACTGCTGCAATGTAAAATCCCACTGAAAAAACACAGGTCAAAGCCCAGGTGCTCTACCGAATTTAAATGGGTGAACACTTCTTAGGAGRAGAGAGTAATTTAATGGGTCTGTTGATGCCAGACACACATTATCAGATCCAAGCAACTGCTTCATGAGAATGGTTAGACAGATCTGTTTGCTGGAGATGTGAGCTGGACAGGGCTGTGTGGTAATCCAGGAAGTAAATTACTTTGATAGCAAAAAGTCATTATCTGTCACATGAAGGGTTTCCACACTTGACCTTAAAATCATGCTCTCATCAGTTCCTAAATAAATGGTAGCTGTTATAGGAAAAATACACATATGGAGTTATTAGAACTTTAGAGTTTTGCAGGTGAAGCACACCATTAAGTTTCTGTGTAGATTAGGCCTAAAATGCTGTATTTTTGGCTCGAATATTTAGGATTTTACTCCCTGACAATATTAAAGCTTTTTAAAAAGAAGGATGTGGTAAGCTCTGAGAGTTTACATTCTTTCTACGTTGCTATGCCCAGTTTTCAAAACAAAATCTTATGCTTTTCTAAACATACTGTTATCTAGGAGACACACTAATTAATTTAAGGAACCCTGTTTCTTGGCACAGAGGTAAAAGGTATATGGTGCCTTTTCTCCATGTTTGCTCTCTATATTTTTGCTTGCTCTGTCCACACATATTTCCCATGCCCTTCACAGAGATGTGCCCAGAGATTTATTTCTTGCTTTTTATGAGAAGTTGTAAATACACTACCACTYTGAGATTGTGACACATTACTTAAAAAGTAGTTTTTGTTCTTGCCTTTAGGCAAACTAAACTCGTCTTTTAGCTCGGGAACTCAAACCTAAACACAGAATTTTTTGGCTGCGATCCAACAGGCATCTTAAAAGAGACAGATTCCTGGGCCAAAACAAAGCGCGGCTCGGAGCCTGGAGTCACGGAAAGGAGGGAAGGCACAGAACAAACCTGCCCGCACACGCTGTTGGCACTCGCGTGTCAAAAAGAGGTGCGAYGTCTGCCCATTATTTTACCCATTAGCCAGCAAGCCCCATATGAAAGCACCGGGAGAAACATAAATATGCATCTATATATCCCCAAACGCGTGGAGAAACATGTTACTTTTTTCCACCTCACAAGGTGTTGAACGGACAGAAACGCGTGTAACGTTGTTTTCCGTTTACTCTCTCCCGCAGGCAGAAAACGCCAGCACAATCGGTGCTCGGTACGGCTCGGGCTGTCTACCGGGACATCGGCACGATGAGTGATCCCGCTGGACAAGCGGTGCACTTCTCACAACTGTTCGCTGAGCGACACGCCACAACTCCGAGCTCTGATCGCCGCATCGCCCGGACGGCAGGGGCTGCCGGCCGTCCCAGAGTCCCGCTGGGAATCGCGCCGACGGCAACTTTTCCTGCCCCCCGACCGCGTCCCCCACCCGGAGCCGGCGCGGCGGTCACCGCCAGCGGGACGGGACGCGACGGGACACCGGGACACCCCCGCCCCTCGCGCCCCCGGCACACCCCCCTCACCCGAAATCCTCAGGCAGGTCTCCGGCCAGGCGGGGGGCAGCTCCCGCCGCCGCTCCGCATAGCCCCCCGCCACCCGCGGCGCCGAGCTCCGCGTCCTCTTCAGCTCGGGTGGCGCCGGGGCCGCGCGGCGCCGCGCCTCGGCCCAGCTCTTCCGCTTCATGGCGGAGGCGGCCGCGCCGCTACGATGCCCTCATCCCGCGGGGACCGGGCGGCCGGAGGGAGGGAGAGACCCCGCGGCGGCGGGACTGAGGGCGGCGGCGGCAGCGGCTGACGCGTTCCCGAGGGCACCGCCCCCTCCCGCCGCACCTTCGCGCCCCCAACAGCCACCCCTGATTGGGGCGCGCGGTGTGGCGTCACCGGCGTGGATCGGCGGGAGGGTGACGTCATAGCGGTAACAGGTGGGCCGGGGAGCGCGGCCGGGCACGCGCCGCCCCCCCCCCCCCCCCGTCCCCATCCCCGGCCGGCGCCTGTTGGGGCGCGCGCCCGGCTCGCGCTGCTGACGTGGCGCCGGCCGCTCGCGGGACGGGGGCGCGCGGCCCCGGGGGCTCCCGAGGGTTCCTGAGGATCCTAAGGAACATTCCCTTCCTTGGGGCGCCGCGGGTGCCCACCGTGACATGCACCCACACTTTGTACGGCCCAACCAAACCGGGCCGGTATGCGCCGTCTTTTGGACTGACCGTTAAATGGATTTGACTGGAAAGTTAAAATCACTGGCTTTGATTTGAATCTGCCTCTTAGGCACAATGATACTTTAAAACACTCAGCTATTTTCGATAGCTGCAGCAATAAATCAAGCTAGTAGGTAAAACAATTTATGAAAACCACTTCCTTCCCACCTCCGTCTAAATTGCCACGATGAAAGCTCTTCAGGAAAAATTCTACCATTTGCTGAGCGTGCACACTCATGGAGGGAAACCTGTTGGAAACCTACTATTTGCCACTTCTCACTGCGTAACTTTTTTTTTTTTTTTTAAATATCCTTTCTAAATAACACCAGAAAACTAAAAATCTGCTGACACTTTGGAAATGAATTCTCCCAAGGATTAATGTGGCCATTATTGTTCCAATTTATTATGAACGCAGGAGTCGTTGTCTTGCACAGCATCAGCAAACTCTGTGAAGTTGTGGCCAGATGCAAAACGGAGGTCTGATGCCAAGATTAGGACTCTTCAGCTCTTCTGCTGAATCCTCCTCTCTCTTCCTCTGCAGTTTGCAAGTCTTCCTCAAGAACAGATTTTGCTGGGATAACACTGAAGCTGTCCTATGGTTCCTGTCAGTATTGAATGGTGAGGGTGAAGAACTTAAAGAGCTGTAAACTACAGCTTAATTCATTCCAATCCCTTTTAATAGTCCATAATTCTTCTAGCTATAGTTAATTTTGTAAAATGTATTTATTAGAACCAACAGAAATATTACCATTGTATATTGTTTTAATTCTACTAAAAGTAAAACAAGCAAGAAGGCAGCTAGAACATTTCCTTTAAAATAAAAAGCACCAAGAACAACAAAAAATTCAAAACAAAAGTGGGATGAGTCAGTGTCCTTCACTGTGATTATCAGGTGAATGAAGCAGMGTGGAAACACTACAAATAAACTGACTACTACTACACATTCATTCTCTTTGAAAACATTTCTTCTGTGTTGTCTTTGTTTTACAAACATATGGCCAGCTTTCCAGGCTGCTTTTGGCTGTTTTTTAAGTAACATGGAGGCAGAGAGGCAGATGCATTCCAGAGTTTCTGGCATACTGAAAAATATTATTGAGCTGGGGGAGTGTTGGAGGGAGCTCCTTATTTGTGAGTGTAGGGGCAGTGGCTCAGGAAAAGCAGACTCCACTCCCTGTGAGCCTCAGCTGCCTGTCCCAGTCTGTTATGCCAAGTTCAAGGAAGCGTCTGGCCAGCCCTGAAATCACGCGGATTCAGTCTGCACGTGACTACCTTTAGCCCTGTGCTGAGTGCTGTTTAGTTAAAGCAGGGAAATGACAACAATATTTTTTTCATTAATAAGATCCTTCTTCTAAACACATCATTTGAAAATAGGGRTGTAATGAATAAGTTGCTAAGGCATAGTATCTTTAATAGAATTACATTGTTCAATGCTCTTTTATTTCTTAAGCAAGCTTTTTTATTTTTCATCAAGGAACAGTGCATTTAATTTCACATGCTCTTAATGGTGTAATGCCTTCCAGAGCTTGCTCTGGGTCTGCCAGTGACCTTAATGAATGCAGGAAAAAACCTCTTCACAAAAAGCCATTTTACTATTGCATGAAAGCTTAAAAGGCAAGAAAATTTGCAGTTGGGTATGGTATGGTATGGTATGGTATGGTATGGTATGGTATGGTATGGTATGGTA